CTTTATTTTCTCATTTTTAGGGGAACTACAATCTCATCTGACATTGTTTGACACGTTAACACCTTTTGATGATGTCAAAGCGATCACAAGCACGCTATTACTAAACTTTTATGAGAATCAGATCGGAGAAAAAGGACCACATATCTTATGTTAAAAACTATGGTGCTCACAGTCCTGTTGAAGAAAAGTAAATAAAACCATCCACTTAGCAAATGTAACACTTTAAAGAACTTTAAATCAGCTTTGTGGACTTTGAGTGCATGCACAGCGTTCGCCATGGTGGAGTACAATAATACCTATCTCTATGAGCATTAGTTCAAAGTGAGTGAGGCAGGAGACCCTCCTGGCTGTTTCACTGACAGCCCAGAGGCATTAATAAGGTCATTTATAAAAGTACTGATTTCTCTTATAATTGACACTTTTACAAAATAATCCTGAGGGGGCATGCAGTTAACCCCTAAAGCACTTCAACAAGCTGAAGTGCTTTCGGGTTCTGAAGTGCTCCTTTAATGTGTCTGCCCTTAATAATTTGAACGGAGTCCATTTCTTGACCTTTAGATCTCTTTCCTTTTTATTAAACATCATTTTATTAGCAGAATCAGCTTTAGAAATCAGCCTATTTTAATTATGCATTATTAGAGCTGCAGATCCATTTGCATCTCAGTTTCCAACCTTTTTATTGTACAGAAATGTAATATTGCCGGCAACGCTAATTTTGTTCCTTCTATCAATGCGCTGCAGATTTATTAGAGGTAAAATCACCTGGAAAAATCCCTTCTGTTTCTACTGGACTCTGCTTTAGAATGGAGATACTGTGTGATCATTATTTTGCAAAACATAAAATATCAGATAATGTGCAACATTTGCTAACAAATTAAAAGAAAACATGCAGGCTTATAAATAATTACTACTTGTTTAATTTATTGCTAGTATCAATTAAATTTTTCAAACAGCAAGTTAATTGTACAGAATGATTCAGAAATTAGAATTACTTTGACTTGTGCAAAACAAATAGTCAGGATCATTTACTATATTGAGTACAAAGTGAAATCATAGTGAATTTCAAATTTAATGCCAAAGTAGCTGAACTGTATATAGATGATTTAGAAATTGTTTTATTCACTTATTTTGAAGTTTACTTAGTGAATAACCCTGTTTTTGTTAGTTCGGACTGAATTCTGTCCTTGTGGCATGCCGGTTCTGACAAATTTCGCCCATGCAATCATTTCGGGTGAAACGTATTTGACAAATGAAAATGGCGCAAAAAATGCACCTTTGAGTGTTCTGCAATTAAATAAAATCACCATCTTCTCCATTCCCTCCTCCTTGTTCTGCTGTCAGAGATCGAACGTCGAATCACGAAACAAATGTAACAGCTTGTCCATTGCCTGTTTGGTTTGTTTCCTAATTCTTCCATATGACTTTATGGAGCTGCGGAATTTGGAATAATCGCTAATAGCCCAAATTCGGACAGATTGTAATTTGTTTGAAGATAAATGTACAAATCTAATAATAATAATAATAATAATAATAATAAGGGTTTTGCTCTGCATCTTGTAGGTAATCCTCCATTAATCATTATCAGCTTGTAACACAGTGTTTTCTATTTTATATATCGACAGCAAGGACACTAGTCACCTATACATCCCAGAGTGACGATTGTACCACTCTATGCTGATTTTGAAGAGCCATTCTGTGGCTCTATAGCAAGGGTACCCAAATGTAGATCCCCAGATGTTCTAAAAATACAGCTTCCATGATGCTTTGTCATTCTAAAAGCATTTTCAAGGGAGTTGTAGTTCTACAACATCTGGGGATCTACCTTTTGGGCACCCCTGCTCCATAGTATGTGAGTGTAGATATACATTTGCTCATTCATTGGCTCTTTTTTCTCTTGGTCTATTATATTTCTCACAGAGCACCAAGCCTGCACCAAGGGGTACATTTCAAATCAAAAAGCGGAGATTGTACCGTAAGTGCAAGTGGCGCTAAACTGCAGCTTTGAATAATGTAAGAGCACCTCTTTATCGAACTTCTACTGTCTACATAAATATACTACACTATCCATTTCTACCTCTCTCCCATTTTTATCGTTTCATACAACTATACCTGTTTAAGACGCAACTCCCACCTCCTTCTCAAATACACAGTAATGGTGTTTTGGGGAGCTGTTTCTTTTAAATTATGTTTTTTATGCGTTTTCATCACAGTAGCACTATCACATTCATCATATTGAATTTTTGTTTTAACATTTAAAGATCAAATCATAAATATCACACAGGAAATATGTATAACTCCTCTTCCTCTGACACCATTTGTTTTTAGACTTAAGTTGCAGCTTTTTAGTACATACCCCTTTTGATGTGGTTTTAGGGGCTTCATTAGTACTAATAGCATACCTCCAAGCATTCCTGTATTCAGCAGGACAGTCCTGATTTGCAGCTCCTGTCCCATATCCCCGGTTTGTTCCCTAGTGTCTCTCATATCACATATCTCCTCATTAATCGTAATCATGGCGTGCACACGGAGCTCAGAAAATTACAAAAAAGTACTGCAAATGCGCTGATCATTGGTTGCGTTTACCAGGGCAGTTGACCGCCTGCTGTACATACATGCATTCTGGTCTGACATGCCCTGTTTGTGAGTTTCGTGCATTCTTTTCTGATTTCTTGAAAAGACGTCTTCTTTAAGACTGACGAATTGCCACTTGCTGTGTATTGGCAGATGTTAAAAAGCACTATAATGCGTCAGATCTCATTCTATGTTAGAAGGATTAATTATATTTAAAGCAGTGAGGAAGTAGTTAATGCCACCTTGCACCTCGCTCCGAGATATGATCCATCCTTTTCACTGAGTAACCAGTGACCATTAGCACCGTGAACAAGACCCCTCGAGCGATGTGTCTTGCCAGGAAATTAGAAGTAGAGGTTTATTCACTAGCCAAGGGCTTTTATGAAATTGCCAAGTTGTTTACTAAAGTAAGAATTGAAAGGCAATTCAAAGTAAATTTCAAATTTAAGGTCAAACTAGCTGAACTTGCAAAATTCTCTAAGTCAGCTTTGATTTTAGTTTGATTACTCAGGTCTTACGTTTGAATTTCTCTGTTAATTCACTTTTAATAATCACTTTGTAAATAACCAAGAGTGAGTCATGATAGATTGTTAACCAGCTTGGTAATGTGCGGCAAACAATTCAAAAACACTCACTGCTGGGGATATTTTCTTACTACATAATTATGCCATCATGTTTTCAGTGTTCAGTAAATCAGTGCCCCAGTATGTGTTCAGTGATCCAGTTGACCCAGACAGGTCTGCATTTCTAGTAAAAGATCTCATAGTTCCCAATGTTTGAAGAAAATTTCCAGGGCAGATTTGTGGCAATTAGGCACACAGATACACACACAGATACAAGATACCTACACACTGACACATACATACACGTACACACAATGGCACACACATAGATACATGCAGTGACACACTGACACACACTCACAGATTAGACACACACACATAGATACTCACACACTGACACGCACACACTTACACATAATGGCACACAGAGAGATACAAGCAGTGAAACACTGACACACACAGATAAACACACACACACTTACATACACTTACACATAATGGCCTGCACACAAATATATACAGTGACACACAGATACAATGATAAACAAACACTGACAGACGAACACAAAAATAAACACAGTTTCTAACCATATTCCTGTGGATTCTGGGCTAGCTTTGCTGGAATACGATACAGAACATGGGTCTGTCCTGGAAAATTCAGGCTACGTGGCAACTATGCATCCTACTGATTACATTGATCAAATATTACATGGATGCAATACATTGCCCTGTATTGTATTTACCCACCAATAAGATTTTACTTAACACAGGATGGCAGGTAATGGCATGTGGGTTCAAAATCATCAATATAAATGCACTATTTCAAAACTTTTCTGGCCCTAAAAATGTTGCAATTCTTTTATCTCATTTATGGCTCTTTGGTGTCAATTTTAACACTTAGGGGAAGCTTGTAACTTGGTCATCCGGGCCGAATAATCTAGATATAGCCAAACTGCAAATTTTGGCTAACCGTTTTTTATTTGAGGTCAGAATAGATCAGAAAGGTCTCTGCGAATGTTTGCATTTTCAAAAACCAAGAGTCAAAAACAAGAGTGTGAACAGTGCAATTACTTCATTCACGTAATTAATATTTAATTCATCATTGTTTAAAATAACTTAAAGAACTAAGCAGAACTGATAGCTCAATTAAACCTGCTGAGAGCGCGTGTTTAATTTAAAAATGCCATCTGCAATTTAAATGTCAGGACCAGGGCTTCCAGATTACTGCGGCTCATTTCCCTGCTAAGAAACAGACACAGAAAGTCTGTAAATGGACCATCTAAGGCAACACTGCTGAGCAATTAATAATTTTAAATAATTAATCTGCATCAGTTTAAATGCATTGGCCAACTAACCATATTGAATTGGAGCGAATGGTCTTCAGATGCATCTTATCATTTGGCATTTAAGAGCTGCCAATTAGTAAATCCCTCCCTTGCTGGTCTAGCCACATAATTGTCATCAAAAGTTATGAATATAAACTTCATTACTGGCCTTGGCTTACCAAATGTTGATTGGGAAAGGATTTGTATATTATTAAGATTTAAAACTAATAAATTGGAGTATAAATTAATTAATATGTCAAATACACAGAATAATTAGCCTGTCATTTTAAATGATCAGCAAATTCCACATTGTTTTACGATAAGTTTGAGTAGAAGGTGTGGCTGCCTAAAGAAATTAAATTTACAGTTTGGTAAAATTATCGGCATAGCCCTCGATTTAATGTTGTTAAATAAGCTTTCAAATGAATAATATTAATGGGTAACCGTGGAAATGATTTAATATTATTAACATTATGCAACGATATTTTGGGTTGCGCTGGGATGACGTAGGTGACGCTCCTGCATGCATTCAGGGGCAGAATTAAGGAACACCGCGGCATGGTTTTGAGAGCAGCGGCTGAATGGCGTCTGCATGGCTGATATGAGTTTGGGCGGCTAAAACAGTGAACGAAGTACGATATATCCGTATAAACTGACAAACTGACAAGGAGAAATACAGGAGAGACCTCGGTACACGTCTGTTTTCGAGCAGTTCACAAGCTGAGGGAAGGAGTCTGCAGATAACCCAGGGGCGTATACTCTCCCCTCACCCTATCCTCTATGCAATTATTGTTTAAGCTGAAGGAAAAAGGGAAGGAGTTGATAATATGCTAAAAAAGCTCTGGGTGAAAGTTTATTATTGCAAACTGCTATAGCAACAAGACAGAAAGCAGATATTTCCTTATATGTAATTGATTATAATTTGCTATTAGAAAATGTATACAGCAAACTAATCGGATGAAAAGTCTTTTATGTGAGAAGTGATTTATATCACAGCAAGGGAGCTGGTGAAAAGCTCATCAGTGGTTTATATTTTGGATATTAAATGCTTCCTGGGAGAGGGAGTGAAATTATCCCTAAATTCAGTATAAAAGACGGAGTTATGGCGGCAAAAACTCAAAAAAAAAAGTAATGGCAAAAAAAAAGACAAGAAGAAAGATGTTAAAAGGGGGTAACGGTGCTTCTAATTGTTTTTCATTAATCAATCGAGCATCAAAAGAAATAAAATGGAAGAATCCGAACTATCTACGTCTGGTATAGACGATTCTTCAAGCAGGGTAAATTGCTCCAATAATACACCTATCACGGCAGAATGTTTAAAGACTAAAGAATAATTAGAAGCCATTACTAACCAAATACATATAAATACTGAATATATAACGCAACAGATTGGAGGTCTAACAAACAGAATTAAGGAAGTGGAAGAAAAAGTTGAACACTCAGAATTCCAGGAAAAGTGGCTGAAAGAACAGAATTCTTTGTTTTTATTGAACAACCAAATAAAAATCGAGAAATAATGATGGGAGACATGGAAGACTGAGCGCAAAGAAATATTGTGTGACCGAGGAATGTTCCAGAGTCAGTTACACATATGGAAGTCCTAAACAAACTCTGGTTGGCATGGGAAATTGAGATAACAAAATATAACGCTAATATAGAGAGATGCCATCGAGGTTTTAGACCAAAATTAGTACCAGAAAATCTGCCAAGGGATATAACTGTCAACTTTCCATCCTTTCAGTTTAAAGAAATCATTCTCCATACAAGCAGAATAAAGCCCCCTCAAAGACGAATTAAAAAATATAATCTTATTACAAGATCTATCCTTGTTCACTAAACCCAAATAACTAACATTTTGAGGAAAAATAACATGAAGTACTCCTGGGGTTACCCGACTGTGATACAGATCCTTTCAGACGGATATCTGGTTACTTTAAACTCTGTAGAAGAAGCAAACGACTGGATAAAAGGAAAAAGTCTAACTTAAAGATTCAATAAGTGGGGAAAAGGAGGAGATACGAGAAGAGAGAAGTTGAATTTTTTTATTTATTTTTTTGCAAAAGTTTCTATCATCGTAAATGTAATATGCTGGATGAAAGGATTTAATAATTTTAATTGAGAGCTAAGCATCAAGAAGGAAGAATGTGCCAAAAGCAAAAAACTGTTAATATGTTCATATTTTTTATATTTTTATATTTTTTCCTGTGAAAGAGGACATTCCAGGAAAGGGTTTTACCATTTAGAGGATTTAATTATTTAAATCGAGAGCTAAGCAGTAAAAAGGAAGAATGAGCCAATGGCGAAGAACTGTCAATAATTTGTTTAATTTTGTATTTATTTTATTTTTCAGAGTGTCTTAATTATAAAGAAAAAGTGGACATTTGCTCTAAATTGTTTACAGCGATATTCACACTGTGTAGTTAAGTACGAAACGCATTGGGTCTTTGGCAATATTTTTATATTTAAAGTTAATTTTTATTGTAGTGAGGTGAAGGGATGATACGTAAAATTAAAAGTTCACACAAATATGTAAGAATATTCAATGAGGGTGGAGGAGAGGGGAGATAGAAATAGGAAAAGGGCAACAATATAAGGCAACATTAAGTGAATCTCAAATATAAAAAGAATATTTGAATCTAATAGTTTGTTGGGGCTGGGTGAGGATTAGAAAAGAATAGAACTAGTTGTCACTGTCATATAGATTTATTTCAAAAGTTTAACAGAAGAGTTTAAACTCTGAGAATCATTGTGGTGATATTATCACAAATAAAAAGTACACAATAAAGTAATTAGATTTTAATAATGTAACAGAGAAAGAGATTTATACTGGAGGTTTTTCGATTTATACTGGAATAAAAAGAGATTTGGCTATGATTAAATTAGCTTCTATAAACATCCAGGGCCTTAATATCTCACAAAAAAAGATGGGCTTTTAATGACTATTTATAGAAAGAAAAGATACAAGTTGCTTTTGTCCAAGAGACACATTGGCGTCAAATAGACTAAAGAAAATGGCTTGGAAGACAATTTCCCACAGTTGTTAGGGACTCTAGACGTAAAGAAAAGAAAGGGGGGTGGCTATTCTCTTCTCAAGGTCCTTACAAATTGATATAAAACATCAAGATCCTGAAGGAAGATTTTTAATACTAGTATGTTACCATCAACGATGAAATGTTTACCCTGATACATGTCTATCTCCCCAATATTAATCACTTAAGTCTTCTAAGTTCTATTCTTATCAGAGCTGAAAAAGTTGCCATGGGTACACGGTTAATTTCTGGTGACTTTAATTGTGTAGTGGATATGGAACTCAATAAATCTAGTAGTAAAAATAAAAACTAGATAAAAGAAGCATTAGACATTCAAAAACATTTGAAAAAGAATGCCCTATTTGATATTTGGCGAGTTCAGAATCCTTGTGTAAGAGATTATTCCTTTTATTTGTGGCCCCATGATTCTCAATCAAGAATTGGGAATCAGAATTTATTAGAGAGAGTCAAGAAAATACAAATAACACGTATTATCTGGTCTGACCATGACTTTGTTATAATGGAAATATAAGAGAATAAAACGAGGCATCCTGATACAACATGGAGATAAGATGAAACTATTTTAACAAATAAAGATAATAGAGAGTTCTTAGAAAATATGTCAGAATGTTTTTATAATGAGAACCGATCCACAGAGGTTAAAGATGTTATAACTTGGTGCACATATAAGGCGGTTATTAGAGGACATTGTATTAAATTAATGAACATTTTAAAAAAGCAGGATTGAGTTTATTATCAGAGCTGTACATCCAATTTTATAAATTATCTAACAATCTCAAGAAAGTCATCTTAGATTAGTGGAAATTAAAAATAAAATAAAAATTACAACTATAGAAAGAATAGATAATAATATGCTCAAGATGAAAGCAAATTATTATTATAGAAATAATAGAACAGACCAGATATTAACCAACCCGTTGGAAAACAAAAGGTCAGATAATAGAATTGGGAAAATAGTGCAAGGTGACGAAGAGTACACCTCTCCTGGGGAAATAGGTGAGGCCTTTAATGGGTTTTATAAAAATGTATATGATTTGTCAGATACTAATAGAGGAAGAGAAACCGACAAATTTGTCTCAAAGCTAAATCTGCCAAAGATCTCTATAGAACAATTTTACATAATTAATAAAGAAATTACTAAAAAAAAGAAGTAGAAAAGGCTATAGACAATCTAGTCCTTTTTGAAACTCCAGGCCTGGATGGATTCAGTAATAGTTTTTATAAAGCAATGAAAAATATAATATCGGAGAACCTAACTAAGACCTTTAATAACGCGGCTAAGGAGGGAAGGTTCCCCCCAAGAAATGCTAAAGACGTACTAAAGACAGGCAAAGAGCCATCGGACGTGAAAAGTTACCGTCGCATTTCAGTTATTAACGTCGATGTCAAACTTTACACCTCTATTATTGCAGCAAGAATCAAAATGATCTTAGTAAACCTTATACATCCTGATCAAATTGGTTTTATACCAGATAGAATGGCTAGTAACAACATAAGAAGGTTTAATGATTCTATAGACATGGCTAACCAGGGAAAGAAGCCCCTCCTGATCCTGTCGCTAGATGCCGAAAAGGCCTTCGACAAGGAAAAGGAAAAGGTTCTTGAATTATTCAGTTTGACCGGATGTATACAAAGGGCGATTATGTCACTATATAATTCCCCATTAGCAAGGATCATCGGCCCTGACATATCTGCATCCTGGTTTAAGCTGAAAAATGGGACGGCACAGGGTTGTCCACTGTCTCCTATCTTATATATTTTAAGTATTAGCTTATATATTATAAGTATTAGCTACCAAGATAAGAAATATGAAACAGGTTGGGGAAGTACAGCCCTCCCGGGAAGAGGTACAAATCTCACAATATGCGGATGATATACTTTTGTATATTTCTAATCCAACGTCTAATCTGCCTCTAGTTTTTAAAATGCTTGATGATTATAGCAATATCTCTAATTATAATAAGCTCAACAAGTCAAAATCAATTGCATTATATAAAAATATAGCAACAACTGAAATATCTAACATTCAACAGAAGTACATTTTTTCCCATCCTAAAGTCTTTACTTATTTGGGGGTTAAAATGTGTGGTGATCTGAATAGACTGATGGAAAAAAAAATTCTATATTTATTAAAGCGGACAAATAAAGACCTGAAAGAATGGAGTCGAACAGAGGTCTGGTGATGGAGGAGGGTTAACATCATAAAGTCTTATATACTACCTAAATGGATTTACATATTTAGAATGTTACCCTTGACCATCCCCATACCCTGGCTTGCTATGATTAAAGGATCTTTTCAAATTTCATTTGGAGAGGAAAAAAACACAGGATTAAACAGTCGTTATTGTTTAATGGAATTAACAAAGGTGGTATGGGTTTTCCTGATAGTGAAATGTATTATCAAGTGGGGTTAGTTTTCCATATAGCATTTTTAAACAAAGAACAAATAAAAATGGAAATATGGTTTAAAATAGAAACAGAGATTTGTATTAATGAAGATCTTTCTATTCTGATATGGTCTTCCAAGGAAGGGAACTATTCTTCATCTTTTGTACTAAATCAGCTTATCCCATTGTGGAAATTAAAAATTAACGATAAACTATTTGATTTTCAAAAAATTGAAATTGTAGAAAAATACATTTTAAATATATCCTTAAATAATTGGAGGGAAAATAACGTTATCGTCATAATCTTCAATT